AGAAAGAAAGAAAGAAAGAAAGAAAGAAAGAAAGAAAGAAAGAAAGAAAGAAAGAAAGAACAAAAAAGTATTAAGACTTTAGGGCTGGAGATATGGCTCCATGTAAGAGCACTTAATTACTTTTGTAGAGAACCTGGGTTTGATTTCCAGAATACACATGGTAGCTCACAACCATTCATAACTCTAGTTCTAGGGGATCTGATGCCTACTTTTAACCTTTATGAGCACCAGGCATTCATGTGGCTCACATAAACACATGTACACAAAACAATTCACACTAAATATAGAATAGATAAATAAAATAAGGACTCTAAGGGTCTAGCTAGATTTTATCACGTTGTCTTTCAGAATGCACTTGCCTGCTCCCATCAGCGGTTGGGAATTTTGCCTCCTGGAGTTGTCTTTTACTGCTCAGAGCACGCTGATTTATAAAACAGATTTTATTTTGTTACAGACAGAAAGATTTGTACTGTGCTGTGCAGGGACAAAGGAAAAGAACTGTGCTGTAGTTTGGTCAGCCAGTAGTTGTTTTCCTAACTTGTAAGATATTTCTGTGATTGGTTATTGAGCTTTGTTCCCATGGTGGTTGGTCCATGTCGTTCACTCCCCTCCCTGCTTGTTGTTGGGTGGTGGGGGAGAACAGTCTTTTACTATGTAGTCCTAGTTTGCCTGGAACTCTGTAGAATAGGCTGTCCTCACACATCCCGGAGATCCACCTGCCTCTGCTTCCTGAGTGCTGGGATTACAGGTGTACACCAATGCACTCAGCTTTTTTGGTGGTTTTTTTTTTTTTTTAAAGATTTGTTTGTTTATTATTTATACAGCATTCCGCCTGCATGTGTGCCTGAGCATCAGAAGAGTGGTTGCTGGGAATTGAACTCAGGACCTTTAGAAGAACAGCCAGTGTTCTTAACCTCTGAGGCATCTCTCCAGCCTCCCCTCCCCTCTCCCCCCCTTTTTTTTTTTTTAAGATCGATTTTCACACCGTAGCCCCAACTAGGTTTGAACTTTTAATGATCCTCTTGCTTTAGCCTCCCGAGTGCTGGGATTGCAGGTGTGAGCCACCACACCCAGCTTTGTAAAGATTTGTTGAGTGGTCATTTTGTGCCATGCCATGCAAGCTGTAGGAGTGAAAGGCTCTGATGTAACCTTTTTCCTCAGTGGCAGCTTCACAAGTAAAAGATTATTTTCATTTTGTAGGTGAGGAAAAAGGTCCATTATACCGTAACAGTCATTAGCCAGGCAGCATGAACATCCCTGATCTGTATATTCCCTCCCTCTGTATCCCTAACCTGGGGTCTCCTGAGTACTTTAGACTTTGGCTTGAGTCTTTCAGACATAGTTTGAGGTCCTTGGGAACTTGTGACTGGCTGTGTAAAGTTCTTTAATTTGCAGAGGGGGATTGTTGTGATCTTTGGCAGTGTTCCTCACAGGGTGATGCCTAGCTCCTCAAAATAGAAAGTGATGACGAGTCGGTTCCTAATTGATAGTGACTTTTTGGAGACATGGCCTCTTGGAGCTCAGGCTGACCTTGAGCTGACTGACCCTCCTGCCTCTACACCTAGCTCCAACACTCTGAGACACCAACCACGTCTCTAGGCTCAGGCATTTGTTGTTGTTGTTTGTTTGTTTTAATGTGTTTGCACATGTGGCTATGCCCCATGGGTGTGCTTGATGGTGACAGAGCCCGCAAGAGGCAGTTGGCTCCCCTAGAGCTGGAGTTAGAGATGGTTGTGAGCTGCTGTGTGGGTGCTGGGCCTAGAATCTGGGTCCTCCTTCTAGAGTTGCCAGTGCTCTCAACTACCCTCCAGGTGTCCCCCACCATAATCTCTTTTACGAGCACTCGCTGACAAGTGTGTGTATATACCACCACACGTGTTAAAACGGGGTATATAAACAGCAGTAATCTCCTCCTGAGAGAAGCCGTGTGCCTTTCTTTTATTCTCTATCTCATATTTATCATTTTCTAGATCTGCCAAAAGTTCTTTTCCTCCCCTTCTTACTCCTCCCTTTTCTCCTCTTCCTCCTCCTTCCTCTCTCTCTCTCTTTTTTCCCCCTGAGACAATGTCTGACTACTTGTACCGAAGGCTAGTCTTAAACTAGTGATCCTATTATTGGCCTCCTGAGTGCTGCTGGCATCAGCTGCTGGCCTGGAGAGGGGCGTATTTTTGTTTTGTTTTGCTTTTCAAGACTGGGTTTCCTCTGTATAGCCTTGGATGTCCTGCACTCCTTTGTAGACCAAGCTGGCCTTGAACTCACAGACATCTGCCTGCCTCTGCTGGGATTACAGGCGTGCGCATCTTAAAATTACAGTGCTCCTGCATCACATGTGTTCAGGATAGTGTTGGACACTTGATATTACAAGACACTAAGGTCACCTTGAGCCAATTTTTGTTTGTGTGTTTGTTTTTTGTTTTTGAGACAGGGTTTCACTCACTGTGTAGCCCTGGTTGCCCTGACAGAGATCTACCTGCTTCTGCCTCCTGAGTGTTGAGGTAAAAGATTCGGCTTAGCAGTTTCTTTTTTTTTTTTTTTAATTTTATTTTATTATGTATACAATGTTCTGACTGCATGTACACCAGAAGAGGACACCAGGTCTCATTATAGATGGTTGTGAGCCACCATGTGGTTGCTGGGAATTGAACTCAGGACCTCTGGAAGAGCAAGCAGTGTTCTTAACCTCCGAGCCATCTCTCCAGCCCCCGGCTTAGCAGTTTCTTAAAGAAATATTTAAAAATGAATTATTTATTCATTTTGTTGGGGAGGGATGACAGTTCATGCCTTCTCTTGTGGAGGGCCAAGGACAACTTGCAGAAGTCTGTTCTCTCCTTCTGTCATGTAGATCTTAGGTCTCAAACTCAGGCTGACCAGGCTGGAAGCAAGCACATTTACCCACTGAGCTAGCCCAGTTTTTGTTTTGTAACCAGAGCTTTAATGTGTAATGTTGCCTATTGATTTATTTCTATACATAATGTAAATCATGTTCAGGTCTCTAAGTTCCAGGAGTCCCTCCTGTCTGCTCTTTTACCTTCTAAATCTCTTTTCTCTTTCTCTTTTCTCCTCTTAGAAACTGGGTATCCCAGGGTGGCCTTGAATTTGCCATCATCCTGCCTCCTCACCTCCTGTGTGCCACCAAATCTTGGAGATGGGCTTTCCCTTCCAGTAAGAAATGGACATTGGGAGTCCGTGTCTATGGTTTGCATACTGCTCCAGTACTGCTAATTCCGGGGCCGTTATGCAGAGCTGAATAGACCGATCTGAAGGGCATGCCTTCAGCTTTCCACACTGTCAACAGGAATGGCTAACAGGAATTACTGTGTGGAAGGCATCTCACACGATATGCAGGCCACAGCACTCAAGCAGCTAATTGCTTAAGGAGAAAGATAATAAGCCAAGGCATGTATGGTAATAAAGGAGAGAAGGGCGTCCCAAGGAGGTCAGTGGCTCTCTTGACCTTCAGAAGACAGAAAATAAAGCATAGGCAAGTCCACTCAGGACTGCAGCTGGAAAGTCAACAGTGGAGGCCATTGTACCTTACCCATTTCTTTTCAAGTCTGCTGCAGTGTCAGCCCTCTCTATTCTGGTAGAAGAGCATATGTAATACTAAGCCTATGAGGCAGAAGATGCCCAGCAAAGTCAAGGAACTAGGAAATGGCAGGGTTAAAGATGTCCCATGTTACAACCATAAATACTGGGCATAAAATAGTGTTCTCTAACTTTGGTAGCTAAACCTCACATTTCTCCTTGGGTTCCTTAACTCCATTTGGACAGGGACGGATGGTCACTCTTGCAAGGCTGCTGGCAGGGAAATTAACACCATCAAGGGCAGGAGTGTCCTACCTCTTTCCATTGAACATGCACTGAACTCTTGTCCTTACCCACACAGCTTAGCTTTGTATTCAGTGTCTGAACACTGTAGCTTATTTTATTTTGTTGGACTATAATTAGAACAAGAAGAAACAATGTCATAAATGGAAATGGTTACAAGATGGTAAAATTAGTTTTTTGTTTGTTTTTTGTTTTTGAGACAGTTTCTCTGTATAGCCCTGGCTGTCCTGAACTCTTTTTGTAGACCAGGCTGTCCTCGAACTCACAGAGATCTGAGTACTGGATTACAGGCGCATGCCACCGCACCCGAGTCAAAATTATCTTTTGACAGTGAATCTATGAATAATATTTTTCTTAATTCTAACTTAACAACTTTTATTGTGTGTGTAAATGAGAAGGCACACATGCTATGGCATGTGGGGGGGGGTGAGAGGACATTTTTGGGAGTTGTTTATCCCTGACCATCTGCGAGCCCCAGATAATCCCTCAGTCTGCAGTCTGAGATTGCTACCCTTTTTGATTTATAGATCATCATGGATCTTTCTAAATTAGTGTCAGATTATGAGGAAACACACGCTTTAGGGATGAGGCTGCCCACTGATCACAGTGAAATTAGCTACATTTAATCCCAATGTACATAGGCATGTACTGCTTTTCAGGAATGTGTCCTGCCTAAGGGACAGAACCGCACCAGGCTCTCAAGTCCACAGTATCCAGAGATAAGTTGCCAGATGTAAACAAACCATGGATTCACCACCTTTCCATCCTCCAGACCTTGGGAATGTAGTTCTGGAAAGCAATTTTTTCTACTCTCTAGAGAGAGAGACTTATTAAAGAAGATTTTGACTCTTATCTGCCGAGACTGGGAAAAGACCCTGGTGGTTACTGAAATACATAATTCCGTGGTGGACCATTTGCCTGGTTAGTCGCCAGCATGGGGAGTGAGGGGAGCTGTTCCATATTGCTGAGTACCTATAATGTGTCAAGCTTAGAATTTACCCTCATAGCATCGTTCAGACTAAGTACTGTCTAAACAAGTCCTGTGTCTAGGGACAGGGTGCGTCAAATGGCGGGGCTGGGATGTAACTGTCTTATTCTGAGATTGCTGTTCTGACCACCATACTGTGAGGCCTCCTGTCACTGATGGAAGAGCACAGTGCTCTACTCAGGAGCACTTTCCATCATCTACATGCAGAGCTCAGCCCTGCCTCTATAATATGGCACAAGGGTGTCCAACTTCTCCACTCCAAGGATATTATTTCATTGAATCATCACAGCCTTGTGACATGGGTGCTATTCTTATCTCTTTTCCATTTGAGGCAGCTAGACCTAGGGAGGTGAAATGACTTGCCAAGGCTATACAGAGGTATGTAGACCGTGGGACTAGGTCTGTGTGACACCTGGATCACTGGCCTTTCTACCACCTCAAGGTGGATCGTCCAGGCTTACAGCGTGCTAGCTAGAAGTCTGCAGGAGCAAGAGCCTTGCTTTTCTGTGCTCTTTTCCTCTTGTAGTCTCCTTTTAGAAATTATCCAAGGAGGCAGCTTATCCAGTGCTGAAAAACTACCTGGGTGGCCTGCAGAAGCCTGGGAACCCACCTCCCAACTCTGTGGGTTTCTGCTGTTAGCTCTGGTGACATGACTGTGTTTAAGGGTATCTAACTTTAGGACCCCCTTCCTTTATGGAAAAAAAAAAAAGTTTTATTTGCAAAGAAGGGAAATGTTGGTTTACCTTTGAATACTTTCTGGTACATTGCTCCTTCTCAGAACACTTGTGCTTTCTTTGATTATGAGGAAAAGTCATGTTAAGGAATAGTATTCTCTCTTCCTCTGACCATGCTCCCATTATTACCCTTTAGGGGTAAGAGAGACCGTTTTTGCACTGCCAGCACGTCAGTGGAGCTTCTGTAAGGGGGAAGGCCAAGTTTGAGTCACAGTGGATCTGGTCTACCTTCTGGCAGCCACCAGGGGACCAGGACTGTTCCCCTATCCTCGGTGGCAGTTCCTCACCCCTCCAGGGTTCTGGACCTCCCATTCCATGCCCTGTACAGTGAACTTGCTTGTGAAGTTGTTTTTTATTAAAAGTGATAGTGGAGGGGCCAGTGGCAGTGCTCAGTGGGGGACTGCAGCTGCCAAGCTGAGACCCTAGTTGGATCCCCAGGTGGGAGAGAATTGACCCTGGAAAGCTGTCCTGTAGCTGTCCTGTGTGGGCAATGGAGTGCACATGAACATACACAAATAAATAATAAATATAAAAATGGCAGTAGAAAGAAAAGCCTGGTATATATATTTCTTCCACAGACTGCAAATAGCTCATATGGTAGTATAGTCTTGTAATTCCAGCAATCTGGAAGCCGAGGCAGGAGGATTAGGAGTTCTATGATAGAACTAGGCTACATAAGACCCTGTTTTAAAACCCTTTATCCACCCACCCCCAATACTTGTTTTTCCTATTGCTTTGACTGTTAGAAGGTTGTCCTAAGCTTATTTATCTATTATATTTATTTACTCATTTACTCATTACTCATCTCTCCATAGCCATGGCTGTCTTGGAACTCACTATATAGACCAGGCTTGCTAAGAACTCACTGAGATCCAGCTGCCATATGCAGCAAGTACTTTAAAAAAAAAAAAAAAAAAAGAGCCAGGCAGTGGTGGTGCATACCTTTAATCCCAGCAGAAGCAGGTGGATCTCTGAGTTCAAGGCCAGCCTGGTCTACAGAGTGAGTTCTAGGACAGCCAGGACTACAGAGAAACCCTGTCTCAAAAACAAAAACAAAACAATCAAACAAAAAAAAGAGTAGGTGCTTGTTCTTAAGACAGAGACACTAGGAAGGAGAATTGCCTTGTTATGATCACATGTGTGGCTAGAGCTCATGGAATTCAGTTCCCAGAACCCACACTGGGTCTCACAACCAGCATGCAACCAACTCTAGCTTCAGGGGAGTCTTCTGGGCATTAACTGTGCACGAGTGTTCTGTGTAAGCTTGGTGGTGTGTCTATGTTGTATATTTTGCACATTGTATACATCAGCACACTTCCAACGTGGTTCACATAGGGTAAGAATCTACGATACAGGTGTCCTGTGTATTAGTTCTCCCTCTCATTTGGGATTTCCCTGCCCTTTATAGCCTGGCTCTTCAGCCTCTTCAGCACTGGGGTTACAGGCACGTGCTGCTTTGCCCCCGGATTTTTTGTTTTGTTTTGTTTCTTTTTGTTGCAAGGTCCTTGAACTCCTGATCTTCCTGCTCCAGCTTTCCGGTGCTGGCACTGCAGGCATGCACCACATTCAGCTTATTTCACCTGCTGGCCACCTGCTGTGGCTTTGATATTAGAGATGGACACACAAATGTTGAAACTTTGAAATATTTCCCTTTTAGGAAAAGAAGAAAAAGAAACATAGAGACAGGAAGTCATCCGACAGTGATAGCTCTGACTCTGAGAGTGATATGGGCAAGAAGGCAAGGCATACATCAAAAGACAGCAAGGCTACAAAAAAGAAGAAGAAGAAGAAGAAACACAAGAAGAAGCATAGGGAATGAGGGTGGACTGGGCCGAGGCAGCCCTGGCTCCAGAAAGACTCAATAGTGAGAATATGGGCTCCCACCCCACTGACTTTGTCCCCGTGGTCTCCTCACGCAGCAAGCAGATTGGGGAGCAAGAGGGTGGCTCCCAGAATGTTTTGTCCTTATCGCTCCCGATCCCTTTGCAAGTGACCCCTGCAGCCATTGCATTCATATACACGATTTTCTCATTCAGCAGAGGGTTCTATTCCCATCCCCGGCTGCCACTGCCAGAGCTGGATTCCTTTGCAGGATCCATGCTAGAGCCACAGGTGCTACTGTGGAGGTGAGCCTGGCTGTCAAGAGAGCAGCCCTCCCCTGCCTGCTACCTGAACCAGTTGTGGGTAGAGTCTGCAGCCTCATTAGCGGCAGGAGGGAGAAGTGTTTCACTTCTCCATTCCCTCATCCAGGGCCTGTATTCAAAGTGACAGCCATGGCGAGAATAGTCTTTACAGCGACTGCTGAACCTGAGATCTGAAGCCATGGTCATTGCTCTGCTTTCTGTCTATCACTATGTGAGTGATTGCTTCCATTTTGGGTCTCTGCTTAAAATCCTGGCATAAGTGGAAACGTGTTTGGTTTTAAACTTTCTGGAAGGCTGTATTTCTATAATCCTTCCTGGGTAACTTACAGACTTAGCACATCAATTCACAGAAAACACTTAATATGTTATCTGAGACCCTGGAAAGAGGCCACGCCAAAGCCACTAGCAAGTCACGGCTTTCTTGAGGTCACTTATAAGCCCTCTCTTCCATAGTGAAGACTTCTTTCCCCTGGACTGATTGGAACACCAGGAAGACTTTGTGACTTTGGGGACTTGCTGGACATGAGTCAAGTCGCTTAGCAGTCACCTCCCACCACAGTGGTCACTGTTGGACCCTGTGTCCTGAGCCTATACTTCAGGAGGGGGGGGGGGTGACCTCAGTGCACCATAGAGTATTCTGTGCAGGATGGAGTAGATCGGCCACTCAGTGACAGCCAGCTCATCTGACCATGGGCAGGTCAGTGTAAAGGGATTGCATAGACGCTGCTGCTCCCTCACTGGCGGCCTGAGGCTGTCCACTCAGCTGCTATCAGTGCTGCTTCCCAGGTGACCTGCAGGCTGTCACTTTAGTCTGTGGCACACAGGAAAGTCAGGCAAAAGGCAACTGGGTGGCCTTGGCTCTGCTTTATTGACCTCAGAGCACCCTTTGAGTACAGTTTTAAAAAATAAACCACATACACAGTGGGAACTGGATCCAGGTTGAAGCCCCTTATCTCCAGAAAAATCCCAACCAAATTGTATTTATACAAAATGCCAGAGGAAAAATATGAGGCAACGTGGTGCTGAGTCGGGGGTAGCCAGTTGGCAGAGGAGCAGTCAGTGAGGGGCAGCCAGGTCACGCCTCCTTCTCGTAAGTTCGAGTGCTCACCACATTGCCATGGGTGAGAGTCTGGAAGGAAAGACAGGGTCAGGTGGGGCAGGGCAAGAAAGGGGATGCTCCCTGCCTCTTCTGATCAGCACTTGAATGCCTTCTTTGTGCCAGGTACTTTACATTTGTCCCCGATACAGATCTTTTTAAGATAGGTGTTACAATTACCATTTTAGAGATTTTTGGGAAATTGGGCCCTTTAAAGATGAGGTAAGCTGGCAAAGATCCAACATATTCCTGTTCCTCTTGTGTTTAGCACCTGACTAAGGTGGTGCCTGGTGCTAGCAGACAAACAGGTGAATAAGAGCATCCAGAGTCTTGAGAAACTGCTAGTCTGGCAACTTTTTCTCCCTCCCCTAAGCACCCAGTCTTCTGGCACAGTAGAGCCAAGCCTTGGTCACATCGATGTTTGTTACCTCCCTTCCAAAGCTAGGCACCTCACTCCCAACTCAGAGGGACCCCAGTCTTGTGTGAATATGCACTTAGGTTCCACTGAGCCAGAAAGGTCTGCTGTATACTGGCATTGCTCGCCATGCTTCTGGCACAGGCACAACCATACAAAGCTACATTCTAGTGAAGCTCTCAAATTTGTCCCAAAGCAGATCTGAAGGCCTGGTTGTGTCACCTCCTATTTTCAGGAAGCCATAAACAGTAGGCAAATGGGGGAGTGGGTAGGGAGCTGCTCTCCAGCAGACACCAGACACAAGCCTGCTCCTGCAGGTGTCTGCATTCCTACTCAGGAGAGGACAGATGGCTGCTGCTCTTAGAGAGCCTGGGATCAACTGGCCCTGTTTTTCTGCCTCTTCCTGGGAAACAGCAAGCAGGAGGAAGCTTTTGTGGGTACCTGCTGCATTCTTCCCACTTGGATGGTGTTTTTGGCTATAAGTGCATGGCCTCCCAGCAGCCCTCAAGGTTGGTGTGGTTAGGCTGATACTGTGTAAATGCACAGCCATGACCCCATCCCTGCCTCTCATCCTAGTTCCTCCGGCCCCCAGGAAGGGCCTGGGCTGAAGAAGGGATGGCACTTGGTGCCGTGAGGCCCCACCACTGCCCATCTTACCAGGATGAGTTTCCCGTCACTTAGCTCCCTTGTAAGCGTAGTCTCCTGCCCGCCCCACTTCTGCACGTGGACAAGTTTTCCTCCGTCCAGTGTCACGGTTGACTGTGGAAAGAGGTAGAGCCAGAACTGAAGGGTAAGATGTGCCTGAACAGACCAAGGACCTAACCAGTAATGGGGCTAGGATCACCATTCAGACAGCCCACCTCCAACCCTGCTCTGTGGCTGCCTGGCAGGGAAGGGGCCCTCAGACGGTGGGTGAGGCAGGCAGCTCAGCCCTGAGGCACAGCCTCCAGGGGGTGCTTAGGCTGAGGTAGTTCAGGTAGAACACAGTCCCAGGTCCCCTCAAACCCATCCCTTTCTCTGAGACTAGGCAAAGAGGAATCCTGAAGATTTTTCTATTGTGCGTATCAGTGTCTAAAAGACTTTTGGAATGTGCTGGAAAATTAGACTTCCCTTTAACTTATACCATGTGATCACCTCAACTGGCAGAAGAACAGCAATCCCAAGGTCCTAGGACCAAGGACCCGGGTATCTTGGAGTATTCTTCAGCTCTAGTTTTAGTGACCATTTGGTCCTCAGTGCTGCCAGCCTATTTCTGCTAGTTTGTGCCAGGCAGCTTCCCCAGCTCTCTCTTCTCTAGGAATTTGGAGCTGTAGGTCAGAATGAGAGAACTAAGCAGGGTTTATTGGCTAAGCAGGAGTCTAAGAAGGGTGATGGTGGTATATGACCACTCATCTCTTTGCTGTCTGTATTCCACTTAATGGGATCTTCATTTGCAATTGGCTTTTGTGAACTGAGCAGTTAATGTTTGACCACTGTTGTATTTAATGTGGGGTCTGGTCCCAAAAGATGGCAAGTTCAAGGATGTATATGTAGGGGGCTGTGGTGGAGCGGCCACCTTCATCCAAATTAGATTGTCTCCTCAGGGCACCATCCATTGCTCCACTGCTAGCCTGCAGTGTGGTCCTGGGCTGGGAGTTTGGAGCAAGCATGCTTCCACCATGAGGAAGCTGAGCAACACCGGCGGTAGGTGCTGCCTTTCATACCCTGAAGTAAATGCTTGGAGAGACTCCAGACACCCACAGCATTCATGCTGGTAAATGCCCTTCTTGGAGCATAGCTCTGCCTGTCAGCTGGTGGCTCTGGAAACAGTGTGTCAGTGTCAGTGGCCTGGCCTGGGAGCTGCGGAAGATGAAACCCACAGATAGGGCTCAGCCGTTTGTTCCCAGCTGCCTCCTCTGCTGACAAAGCCTGGATGACCTCAGTGCAGGGCACTGACTTCTGGGCATCGTTCCTAAAGCACTTCAGGTCACAGCCACGGCTGCTGAAGTCCTCAGAGCTTCTGCATGCCTTGGTGTACAAGGTCACCCAGCTGGGGCTGGAGACACAAGGTCAGAGGAATATCTTGGCTCTGCTGCCCACACCAGTCACAGTGGATAGATCCTTCCCAGGAAGGTAAGAAGAAAATAGTCCAGAGCTTGTTCTTAGCCCCTGGGGCATCTCAGCACTGAGTAGGTTTTATGAACCTTGTTGAATCTACGACAGTTGTCCCTTGGGGCCCAAAGCTTAAGGAGCTAAGAGAGGGTCAGCCTCTTACTAGGCCTGCAGTGACTTAGTATCCTTTGTCCCACTTCTCTGACTCACCTTGACCTTCCTGTCATCTGCCGTGGTCTCATCGAACTCCACTCCCAGCTGAAAGCTGATCTCTGTGTTCTTGAAGGTGCTATGTGTCTTTATGCAGATCTTATCCCCATTCTTCTCAATGATCGTGGTAGGCTTGGTCATGCTGGCCACCTGCCTGGTGGCAAAGCTGACACCTGAGGACAGGGCAGACGGTTGAGAATCTGTTAGCTGGGGGAGAGAGGCGTCGTATAGAAGCTCAAAGAGAAGTCTTGTTTGGGCCTAGGCGCGGGGAAGGAGAACAGTAGTGGCCCTTGTCTTTGTGCCGCCGTTTTCTCATTCGGTCTTTTTCCTTAGCTCTGCAGATGTTAGATGTGAAATATGAGGAATGTCAATGATGGGGGAGAGTCGGAAACAGGTAAAAAAGGGGTGTGAACCACATAGACAGTCCCTCACTCAGTCCCCTCAGTCCCGTCCCTGGGAAGTTTTGTAGATGTGAACACTGAGACGGAATTTAAGCCCAGGGACACAAATCAGATTGAAGCTGCTAAGGACTGTGTCACCTCCGGGACAGAGCAGCTGCTGCCTTCTGTGAACACTCAGACCGTGGACTGAAGAAAGAAGAAATAGGCAGCTGCCTTTTACAGTCCCCTGGCCAGGGATTGTCTGCCGTTTTCACCCTGGAAACCGAGACGTCAGTGCTCTGTCCTCTGTGTGGAACACTACAGCTTCAAAGCCTCCTGGTTACAAGTACAAGGGAGTTTTGTCTTCTACAGGCCTAGAGGTCTGCCATGGTAGGGACAAGGGGTTGAGTTGAAGTCCTTGGGGAGACTCCTGGCCTAAGCACTGGACCTGAGCCCTAGGCAAGGACCCAAGTGTCCCACAAGCAGGTGAAGTACACAGACTCCTTAGGTCAAGCCTTCAGCCCTTTGGGTTGTAGCTTCCCTGGAATCTTCCATTGTTGACTACCTGTCCTCTGATCCCAGCTCATGCTGAGCTATCCTCAACAATGAGGCAAGAAGCAGGCCAATACAGGGATAAGGTATGGGACCTGTGAATACCTCCCAGCCATGTACATTTGCTGGAAGCTACGTTTATTGCACAAGCTCTACATGAGTAGCCAAGTAGTGCTTGGTACAGCCCTAAGCATAGGTTTTATTGCTCTCAATTTACAAATGAGGCTTGGAGACTTCTCCAAAGTCAACTAGGCTGAGCATGGTGAGTCCTGCCTAGAATCACACTCAGGAGGTGGATGCAGGGGAAATACCAAAAGTCAAAGCCAGTCTGGGCTGCCCAGCACCAGAACATGAGCTATCGGGAGACACTGTATCAAAAAGGCCAAATAAATAAACCATCAGTGTTTAGTGACATAGATTCCCAAACTGACTTTTAGTCGGACATAGTGTGCCATTAATGCCACCATTTGTGCCTGTAGTCACTTCAACTAGGCTGGGCTGCTCTTTCTAAGAACCCTCGGTTCTGTAGGATAAGGCTTGAGGACTTTGGCTGCAGCAAGGAGTGAGACTTGGCTTTGCCTTCGGAAGTGAGTTGGGCCTCAGCAGTGAACCAGCTGTTTGCCCAGGACCTACCCACCCCACAGGTGTAGGATGCTAACAAAGTCAGTTACTGCTAAGAGCTGGGGTGAATGAGTCTGTGCTTTGCTGGGCTTCAGCCTGTCCATATTTTCAGGCTAAATGGAATCTCAGACCCCCTAAAAGCTACTTTGTTGTAAGGGTGCAGCTTGGGATGATCACGCCCTCAGCCTGCTCAAGACCCGGTTTCTGTCAGCACCCAGAGGACAAGGGCCTGAAGACAACAGGCACTGAGGCAAAAAGGGTAGGAAGGGGGCCACAGAACTAAGGGAGGCAGAACCAAACCGGGCAATCTAGTACTCTACTTTATCAAGAACAGCCAATTAGCTGGGCGTGGTGCACACTTCTAACTCCAGCGCTTCGGAGGCAGAGGCAAGAGGACCCTCCTCCATCGGGAGCTCCAAGACAACCAGGGCTACTCCACAGGGAGGGTCTTTATCTCAGCCCAAGGCAAGGAAGGGCTGGAGCCAGTCTTGTGAATGGTTCGTACCACAGTCCCCACTCCTGGGCCTCGGTTGAAGTGAGAAGAACTCTAGCTAGTTCTGGGTTTAACTCTTTGGAAGGCTGAGGTAGCAGATTACAAGTTCAAAGCCAGCCTGGGCAAGTTAGTAAGAACTTGTCACACGAAATCTAAAGAGGTGGTGGCCCAGTGGCAGAGGGCCGGCCTGGCGTGCTCCAAGTTCAGCCTTCAGTGTCCACAGAAAAGAAATCCCTGGTCCGCCAGCACCAGCGCGGCCACCACCACCCGGCAATCCCCACAGATCTTACCAGTGCGGTTCTTTGAAGCTTTATTCTTCCCCATCCCCAAACCACACACCCCTTCACAGCCCCTGACCTTGCTTCTGGCCCCCTCCGCTGGGTCCCAGGCACCGGCTTTCTTCACCCTATCCCTGCCACTGAACAGGTGGGAGGCTGGTGTACCAGGAAAGCCCACGTGTCTGGTGGTCTTGCCCTACCAGCAACATCGGCCACACTGCAGGCGAAGGTCAGACTGAGAACGAGGGCACCTTCGGGAGAGAGGCCTCTACGCCCGCATGGAGGAGGAAGGGCGTGCTGCCTGCCCTGCTCTCTCTTCACCTCTTCCCGCTTCGAATTCACTGGTTTTCTTAAGTCTCTCTCCAGGCTCCTAGGTATCTTCCTCCCACAGTATCCTCCCATCTGCTCTATTCCCTTTCCGGATTCAGTTTCTAGCCCACCGACCGTGCTCCTGTCTGCTTTCTCCTGCGGCCAGCCTCCCCGCCTTCTGCTCTTTCGCTCAGCTCCCCTCTCACCGCCAGCTCACATACGTCCTTCCTAGAAAGCGCCTCCCAGCCCCGACCTCTGCCGCCACAGCTGTCTCTGCGCCTCCCCGCTCTCCACCCTTCTACCTCGCTGATAGCCCCTTCCCAGGGGAGGAGAAGGGGAGCGGGGCGGGGGTGCTCCAGCCCAGGTCACCCTCTGCGCCCGCCCGGGTAGTCCCTGCCTGGACTGGCGGGGAGCGTACAGGAGGCACCCAGGGCGCTCCAGCCGGAGCTCAGCGCCAGGACCGGCTTAGGGGCTCCCCACACGCGGCCGGGATCCTGCGCCCGCGGTTCGCTCACCGAGTGACTTCATGTAGTCATCAAAATTCTTGCTGTCCACCAGCTTCCAGGTACCGACAAAGGCGTCCACCATGGTGACTCGGGAAGGAGGGCGTGAGGGCACTCGGAACCGCGGCTCCTGGCGGGAGAGCCTCTTTAAATAGCCCTCGCGTCACATGATGAGCACGGCCCACACCCCTCGCTCCCGAAATAGGAAGCCGGGGCCTGCACTCCCTCAAGGGGCTGGCTCCCTTCCCCCAGGCCCGCCCGGCGCCTGCGTCAGCGGTCCTGCCTGTGCCATACCTGCCCTGGCGGCAGAGCGCCCCCCGCAACCCAAGAAGAGCACCCACCCCACAGCCACACGGAAAAGAAGCTCGCCCTTGAGCTGGTGCCACAGTGGGAAGAAGCCGGATGACCCTTATGCCACCTTGTTTTTAATTCCTTATGGTTTTACACTAAACTGTGTGCGTGCGCGTGTAGGTGCGCTTATGGGTGGGGGGAGGGCGCGTCGTAGCTCGAAGGAGTCACGGCTCTCCTTCCACCACGTGTGTCCCAGGTATCGAACTGGGGTCATTAGGCTTGGCAGCCAGTGCCTTTACCCAGTGACCCATTTCACCGGCCTTCTGTCCTCTTGTAGAAGAGGCGTGGACGCTCGGAGGAGAGTGACGCGGTCACCCTAAGCAGAAACGAATTAAAGCCCAGTGAAGAGGGGCCCTCCTGGACACGGTGGCGGATGGTTGTGCTGCCCAGTGCCTCACCTGCTCTGGGCGAACGTGACCTTGCTTCCCTCGAGCTAGACCCGAACGTGCTCGCCCCTCCCAGCAGAATGTCTCCTGCTGGTGCCTCTCTCTCCCCACCCCCTCCCTGGCCTCTCCTCTCGCTCCCCACTCTCCCTGAAAACACTCCAAGCTTTTCTGACCTCTGAGCTTCCGCTGGGGTCGTTCTCCCCTCACTTCGTGCAGAATTTGTCTATTCAGGCAGTTCTTCCGGCCACCTTGATTGCCGGACAGCTGTGGTCCTCTGCTAGAGTCAGTCTTTCCTCCGAGTTCTGCTACTAGCCTGCCTGTCACCTTAAAGCACTTTGTTATAAGTCGGGCCCGGGCCCACTTTATTGATGGTCGTAGCCTGCTTCAGGACATGACTACACTGGACTTTTCCATTGCTAGGTGGTGTTACCCTCTTTTTACAGGAGAGTAAAGGAAGCTCAGTGGAGCCTATTCCTTAGTTCAGCAGGTTTCTGTTTAATAATTACCAAGTCAGCGTCTCAGTGTGTAGCCCAGGTTGACCTTGAACTAAAGACCCTCCTGCTTCTGTCAGGAATTACAGCTATCCGCTGCTTGCCTGGCTCGATGCAACAGTTTGTAAGGCACCCGGAAGCAAAAAGATCCTGAGTTGGAGGCCAGCCTGAGTCACGTACGGCTGGATCCTGTCTCAAAATAAGTAAGTTTGTGCCAGCCCTGCTTTGGGGAAGACCACAGGGAACAAGGTACAGGCTAAAGTAATTCACTCCTGGGAGCCTCATGAAACCAGTGACTATAAGAGGGGGCTGTCCTGGCTTGGGGACTCAGAGGAAGAACATAAATGAATTTCTGAGTGTTTGAGCCTTTACATAGGAGGGAGTGGTGTGCACAGAACTGCAGCCTCTAGAAGGGCGTCCAGGGTGGTCACTCAGGAATCATCACAGACAGCTGCAGTGTGGCCAGGCCTCCTTCTTGGGCCTCTCTTTGTCCATACAGAAGTCCCCATCTCCCACCCTGGGCTGTTCTGGGAAGGAGGCCAGTGAGGAAGAGTCCTCTCACCTCTCCCTAACCTGGGTCTAGATTCCTTTGGAGAGCCCAGCTGCCAGAAGGCTGAGAAGCCGAATTCTGCCAAAGCTACAGGGACAGGCCTCAGGGCTGGGCCTGGAGCCCTGGTGACCTCAGGATAGAGCAGATACCAAGGGAGGGAGGACGTGGAATGATTTCTGATTCAAGGACACCGGCTTTAGGCAAGGAGCCTCTTCTCTCAAGGACTGAGAGGCCTGAGACCCAGGGGCAGAGCAGTCTGTTTACAGGGACCATCCAGTGTGGTGCTGGGGAGCTGGGGCTGGCTGACAGCTGCTGGCAGAAAGTCTGTGTTCTAGTCCTGATCCCAGTGGTTACCAGCTGTGCGGCGTGGCCTGGAGCAATTAATTCACTTAAGCCACTCTGAATCAGTTCCATCTTTGTAACAGGGATAGTTGAAGATCTTGAGAACTCACTGTGTAGACCAGGGTGGCCTGGAACTCAGAGATCCACTTGCCTCTGCCTCCAGAGTGCTGGGATCAAAGGCATGTATCACTATGCTTGGCCCTGGTTCCTTTTTAAGACAGGGTTTCTCTGTGTAGCCCTGGCTGTCCTTGAATTCACTCTGTAGACCCGGCAGGCCTCCCATTCAGAGATCCACCAGCCTCTGCCTCCTGAGTGCTGGGATTAAAGGCCTGCGCCACCACCTGGCATGGTTTGCTTTTAGAAATATGCAGGGAAAGGAGATAAGATAGCTCAGTGGGTGAGGGAGGGGCTTACTGTGCAAACATGAAGACTTCAGCATTCATGTAAACGCTGGGCATGGTTGCTGGTACTGGAACCCCAGCACTGGCGGGGACAGGAGCTTGCCCGCACGTCATTCTAGCAGAAATGATGGGCCCCCAGATTCAGTGAGAAGCCCTATCTCAAAAATAAAGTGGACAACAGCAACAGAACCATTAACCCTTTGATCCCAGCACTGAGGCGGCAGGAGGGTATATCCAGGGATTCCAGGACACTGGTCCCAAACAAAACAAAACAAAAGAGTGGAGAGTGATAGAAGACGCTGTCACTGCTGGCTGAAGGAGGGGAGGACACACCACTGGAATGTCCTTGTGCAGGGACTGAGCCCTGCCCAAGCAGCAGGAAAGCTTTTTGTTTGTTTTGTTTCTCTGTATAACCTTGGCTGTCCTGGATCTCACTCTGGCTGTCCTGGATCTCACTCTCATCCTGTAGACCAGGATGACCTCAAACTCAGAGGTCCTCCTGCCTCTGCCTCCCAGATGCTGGGATTTATTTTTTATTTATTTTTTTATTTACTGTTTATACAGTATTCTCCCTGCATGTACACCTGTATGCCAGAAGAGGGTACCAGAGCTCATTATAGATGGTTGTGAGCCATCATGTGGTTGCTGGGAATTGAACTCAGGACCTCTGGATGAACAGATAGTGCTCTTAACCGCTGAGCCATCTCTCCAGCCCCCAGATGCTGGCATTTAAAGGCCCTTGCCGCCACCACCCGAGTAGCATGGAGTCTTGCATTAAGAAGTTGAGCTATAGACCAATTGCCTACACTACAACTGCAAAGTTCTAGCCTGGGCCAGGAAGGTTGATTCTTAAGCCACACCCTCGTTCCTTCCACCAGGCTCTGTGTTGTTGTTGTTGTTGTTGTTATTATTATTATTATTATTATTATATTGCTTGTGTGCATGATATGTGTGTGAGCTTCAAGCATGTGTATGACTTCATATATGTGTGGAGGCCACAGGACAACTTTCAGGAGACTGTTCTCTCCTTTTCCTATGGGTTCTGTGAATAGAACTCATTTCATGAGGTTCTCACAGCAAGCACATTTATCCACTGGGCCATCTTGACAGACCACTACTCTCTCTCTCTCTCTCTGTTTTTTTACCCCTACTACTAAGAATTAAACACAGGGCCTCAAGCATGCTAGGCAAGTGCTCTCCCATGAGGCTATAGCCTTAGCCCTCATTTTTGTTTTTTTAATTTGAGCAGGATCTATCTCATGAAGTTGCCCAGGCTGGCCTTGAGCTTACTCTATAGTCCAGGAAGGTCTTGGATTTCCAGTCCTCCAGCCTCAGCTTCCCAGGCTTGGACCACCAGCTTTAGTCCATCCTCCCTCATAAGTATATACAGTTCACACAAGTGCATGCGTTTTCCTCACTCCATTATGCTGCTGCATCAGAGGGTGGGGTTGAGTTGTGTCTCTTTTCTCAAGCTTCTTGCCTTTAGTAGATCCAGATGTGGCTATAACATCTGGCAGGCAGCAATGCCTATCAGGAGCAGCATCTCCCCGGCCTTCCTGCTATATAGACTAGATGTTACTAGTCTATGTTTCCACAACAACCACAGGCTGGGAAGATGCAGAAGAGGAGAGGTAGTAACTGGGAGAAGCCAGTGGGATGGGCTGTAGCACCAGCCTATCTGTGGGTCCTTGGGGAGGGGGAAGAAGAAACACGCTCCTCATCTATAGCTGCCACAGCTGTTTCCCCGGCCCGCCCTGTCCTCTGGCTGCCTCTACATGGGAGTGTCCACTAGCTTGGGGGAGAACCTAGAGGTGGAGGCCAGAGAGGCTGAACTGGGGCTCCACCCACCCACAGACATCGAGACCCTCCTTCCGTCCACGCCTAGTCCTCACAACAGGGACTTTTCTGTCGATGGTGGTGGAGCTCTCTGTTTCTGCCTCTGACATGGAGTCTGTGAATCTTAGCTCTTTCTCTACTGCCCTGCAATCCCTCTTAGTGAACGGTGTGTTAGTTTTGGAAAGAGGCCTGCTGTGTATATCCCAGACCTGCCCCTTACTGCCTAGAAAAATGAAGCCCAAGTTTCCTTTTTCCTCTGTAAAGGAAGGCTTTTGGCTTCTCAGAGCATGGAATTAAAAACAGAATTAATGAGCGTAGGAGTATAGCCTACAGACAGAACATTTGCCTAGCCTATATGAGGCTCTGGTCTTGATTCTTATGTTATAAGAGGTGGGGAATGAACATAAATAAATAGAAATCCCAACACATTAATATTAAGTGAATAGTAATTTCCTTTATTTCTCCTTTCCACCCCCCCCCCCCCCCAGATACTTCAAGACCCTGAATCAGTAGAAAAGGGCGTATAACATTTCTCACTGAGGCCATACAGTGGGCTTCAGATACCATGAGTCAGGTTCCCCCATCTTTGTATTTCTCTCCGTTTAAATAGTCCTTCTACTGCTGTTACTTGATCTGAGCTCAGCAGGCATGCAAGCTAAAAAGGAGAGCAGCAGCCACAGCCTCCTGGACGTGCACAGGTGTGTGTGTGTGTGTGTGTGTGTGTGTGTGTGTACTCACAGAGTAGGGGAACAGAGGCATGGAGGCAAGGGGAATGTTCCTTCTGCCACTAGGAAATCTGTTTCCTTGTTCCTCAAGAGTTCTAGAATTCTGGCCTGAGAAGACAAAGGATGGCCAAGGCACAGGTATACTCAACGCCAGTGTGCTTCTGAGAAACTGCTGCCTGGGGCAGGGGCTCCCTGGAAAGAGATCAGTGTCCTTCCCTGTCCAGCTTAGAGAGGAGGGACACCATGTCTTCTGGGAAAATCGCCCATCTCTTGGTGGCTCACAGAATAAAATCCAAACTCGCTGGCCTGCTCTCTCTCAACTCTCTCCCTTTTCTAGTGTACTCATAAAATTGTGTCATAAGAATGTTTAGGAGCTGGAGAGAGGGCTCGGCGGTTAAGAGCACTGGCTGCTCTTGCAGAGGAGCTGGGTTCAATTCCTAGCACCTACATGGCAGCTCACAACTGTGTGTAACTCCAGTTCCAGGTGATCTGGCACCCTCACACTGACATACATGCAGGCAAAACACCAATGCATATGAAACATTTTAAAATACATCATTAAAAAAGAAGAGAGGCTGGGTGAGGTGGCTCACGCCTGTAATCCCAGCACTCGGGGAGGCAGTGGCAGGTGGATCTCTGTGAGTTCAAGGCCAGATTGGTCTACTAAGCGAGTCCAGGACAG